AAAAAAAAAAAAAAAAAGGTGGTTTTCCTTAAGTGGTGGTTTTTCATCTGGAAAATATGATTCAGAATGGATGCATAAGCGTAGAAAAAGTGAATGGGTACATAGAACACTTTTCCTGGGTTTTCCTAAAACCAAGTTACAGTTCTCAACTGTAATAATATAGTTTGTTTTAGAATAGGGGGCACTTTATGGTAAGTTATGTTGTATGCTTAACTCCATTTGTAACTTAACAGATTCAGCATGGCCCTTTTTAAAAATTGTGGAAGAGGGCCGAGCGTGGTGGCTCATGCCTGTAATCTCAGCACTTTAGGAGGCCAAGGCGGGTGGATCACAAGGTCAGGAGATCGAGACCATCCTGGCTAACACGGTGAAACCCTGTGTCTACTAAAAATACAAAAAAAAAAAAAAAAAAGGTGGGCATGGTGGCAGGCGCCTGTAGTCCCGTCTACTCAGGAGGCTGAGGCAGGAGAATGGCGTGAACCCGGGTGGCAGAGCTTGCAGTGAGCTGAGATCGCGCCACTGCACTCCAGCCTTGGTGACAAGCAGGAGACTCCCTCTCAAAAAAAAAAAAAAAAAATTTTTGTGGAAAAATGTACGTAACAAGATTTAGCATTGTGACCATTTTTCCATTTTTAAGGGTATAGTTTAGTGACATTGAGTATATTTATATATTTTTTTAATTAATTAATTTATTTTTTTGAGACAGAGTCTCACTCTGTCACCCAGGCTGGAGTGCAGTGGTGCTATCTCAGCTCACTGCAACCTCAGCCTCCCAGGTTCAAGCAATTCTTCTACCTCAGCCTCCTGAGTAGCTGGAATTACAGGCGTGCGCCACCATACCTGGCTAATTTTTGTATTTTTAGTAGAGACAGGGTTTCACTATGTTGGCCGAGCTGGTCTCAAACTCCTGACCTCATGTGATTCACCAGCCTTGGCCTCCCAAAATGCTGGGATTACAAGCGTGAGCCACCGCACCCAGCTGATTATGTTCATATTATGCAACCATCACCACCATCAGTCTCCAGAATTTTTTTCATCTTCCAAAACTGAAACTACCCATTAAACAGTCACTTTCTATTACCCCCTTACCCCCAGCCTCTGGCAGCCACTTTCTGTCTCTGTGAATGTAACTGCTCTAGATGTCTTATTTAAGTGGAGTCATACAGTTTTTGTCCTTTTTTTGACTGGCTTATTTACTTAGCATAATACCCTCAAGTTTCATCCATTTTGTAGTGCATGTCAGGATTTCCTTCCTTTTTAGGGCTGAGTAAGATTTCGTTGTACGTATATACCATGTTTTGTTTATCTGTTCATCGGCACTGGGGGATTGGTTCCACCTTTTGGCTATTGTGAATAATGCTGCTGTGGACATGGGTGTACAAGTATCTGCTCCTGTCTCTGCTTTCAGTTCTTTTGGGTATGTACTCAAAAGTGGAATTTCTGGATCATACGGTAATTCTATTTTCAGTTTTTTGAGGGGCTACCATACTGTTTTCCATAGGAGCTACATCATTGAAACACCAATGGTCGTGGCTACCGCTGCCTCATTTTACATTCCCACTAACAGTGCACAGGGTTTTAATTTGTCTACATTCTGGATACTTGTTATATTCTGCTTTTTAAATAATAGCCATCTTAGTCTTTCTTGCTGCAAGTCATCCTCCTTTACCTTCATATCTACTTCATTTCCTTCTTCCTCCTCTTTGCTTTCTTAAGAGCTGTAATGTAAAACAGTATTTATCTATGTTAATCTTGTAATTTCTGTCTATAGTATTTAAAGTACTAAATTGATTTTTTAATTTTTTTGTGCTCCTTGAGTTTACAATTTTTTAAAAAACTTACGTGAAAGCCTAGGAAAGTCACTAGTACTGTCTCTCCTCCTAGGCCTTTCATCAGCTGTCACTCCCCACAGCAATAGATACAAGCAGTGAGGAAAAGAGAAATGATTTTCCCTTTTTAAGCTGTTCCTATAGGCCACTGAGAGAGCCTTGTCAAGACAAACGCTCATAAAAACAAATGAATGCTGGGTGTGGTGGCTCACGCCTATAATCTCAACACTTTGGGAGGCTGAGGCAGGCAGATTGTTTGAGTCCAGGAGTTTGAGACTAGCCTAGGCAACATGGCAAAACCCTGTCTCTACAAAAAAAGACAAAAAAAAAAAAAAACTAACCAAGTGTGGTGGCATGAGCCTGTAGTCCTAGCTACTTGGGAGGTTGAGATGGGAGGATCACCTGAGCCTGGGGAGGTCAAGGCTGCAATGAGCTGTGATCATGCCACTGCACTATAGCCTGGGCGACAGAGCAGAACAGGAAGAAAACAAAAACAAAACGAATGGGACATGTTGACATTTACTATGGTAAACACTTACCTGGGTAATTGTTTGGCAAATGAAGAACAATTGTATTAAACATTTTCTTTTGTGGGTTTTAAAGTAGTTTGTTGCACTTTTAGAAGAAATGCCTTATTGAAATAGCTGATATGGCTACCTCAGAAGTGCCAGGGAGTCAAGCCAGTCCTAACTCAGTGCCTGGGGATGGATTGCACCAGGCTGGTTTTAATGCCTTTATGGCCAGTCGTGTGATGGTCTTTGTGGGAGTGAGACAGGGACTCCAGCCCTGCAGCTCTGGACCCTGGCTCCCTGAATGCCATAATAACATATATTTGAGTGGCAAAGCTGTATGCCTTACAGTGGCCAAGAGCCAGTTCTCCTGTTCCTCCAAAGCCCACACTCAGAAGATAAAGCTGGCTCGGGGCAGCAGCCGACCCAACTTCCACCTAGCACTGGGGTGGAATAGAGGTATTTGGGTCTCTCTAGCCTGTAAATGTCATACTTTCAACTAACTACTGAGTTTGGGGTTGGGGGGAGTATCCTGGCAGAAATATCACTGCATTGCCCTGGACCTCCTTTTTTACCCCAGTGTCTAAGGTACAAGGGTACAAGTAAGAAGGCTGACCAGCACCTTTAACACTGACTTTATTTATTTTTAAATCTGAAAATATCTTGGGAAAGTTTTACAAAAAGAAAAAAAGAAATCAACAGAAACAAGTTATGGAAAAAAAAACAAAAAGAAAAGAAATGCTTTGTCAATCCATTAGACTTCTTTGTTTGTCTAACCAAAGGTTCAAGAATACAGGTGCTTTTGAGTTTTCTTCTGGCTTTGCCAAAAAATCTCTTTTGCTATTTTTGCATTATCTAAATAGATCATTCCATTATTATTCCAATTATTGTAAAGACTCATAACTTGGATTTTTTTTTAACTGTAGAGTTTTTTTTATTGAAGTGAAATTCATAAAACATTAAGTTAACCATATAAAAATAAACAATTCAGGCCCATGCCTGTAATCCCAGTATTTTGAGAGGCCAAGGCGGGAGGGCTTTAGGCCAGCAGTTCAAGACCAGTGTGGGCAATATAGTGAGACCTCATTGCTACCAAAAATAATAATTTGCTGGGTTTAGTGGTGTCTAGTCCTAGCTACTCAGGAGGCTGAGGTAGGAGGAAAGCTTGAGCCTAAGAGGCGAAGGCTGCAGTGAGCTGTGATCATGCTGCTGCACTCCAGCCTCAGGAACAGAGTGAGACTCTGTCTCCAAAAAAATAAAAAATAAAAATAAGCAGTGCAGTGGCATTTAGTACATTCACAATGCTGTGTAACCTCTGTCTAGTTCAAAAACATTTTTATTACTCCAAACATAACTTTTTGGAAAAAAGAGCTTAGAGTACTGTTCTTAATTGTTTCATTTGCTAATAGTCTGGTATAATGTACTGAATTATAATTATATTTATCTTCAGGTGATTTCAAGTGTCCTATCAAAGAGGAGATAGCAATTACCAGTGGTGAATGGGAAGTTCTTGGCCGGCATGGATCTAATGTATGTTATTTTATTCTACTGATATGTTTGGTCAGTATTACTGTGTGAATGCAGTGCTGAAAATGAGTGTAATTTAATATGACCCCGGTATTTTTTTTTCCGAGACAGAGTCTTGCTCTGTCGCCCAGAGCTGGAGTGCAATGAATGGGTTGATCTCGGCTCACTGCAACTTCCGCCTCCCGGGTTCAAGCAGTTCTCCTGCCTCTGCCTCCCAAGTAGCTGGGATTACAGGCAGGTGCCACCACACCCGGCTAACTTTTTTGTATTTTTAGTAGAGACGGAGTTTCACCATGTTGGTCAGGCTGGTCTCAAACTCTTGACCTCGTGATCTGCCCACCTCGGCCTCACTTTACAGGGCGTGAGCCACTGTGCCCAGCCAACCCCAGTATTTTTAAAATACTAAGTTAGGGCCTAAAATTACTCACATTGTTGAAAAGAAATAATCTTAGTTTAAATTATAAATCTCATTTATTTTATAGCCCTTTTATAGATGTGTTCCTAAAGGTTATTTTCTTTTCTTTTTTGTGAGACAGGGTCTTGCTCTGTCACCCTGGCTGTAGTGCAGGGCACAATCATGGCTCACTGCAGTCTCAACCTCCCAGGCTGACGATCCACCCACTTCAGCCCCTGGAGTAGCTGGGACTACGGGTGTACACCACCACAAGCTAATTTTTAAATTTTTGGTAGAGATAGGGTCTCTCATATATTGACTGGGCTGGTCTCAAACCTAAACATCTACTAAGCCTAAACATCTACTACTTGCCCCTACGTTTATCAGTTTTCTTTCATGTCATGTGTACTTGTGATACATTAGTTTGTCTTTCTCTCTTCTCTATTTTCTTTTTCTTTTTTTTTTTTTTTGAGATGGAGTCTCACTCTGTAGCCCAGGTTGGAGTGCAGTGGCATGATCTTGGCTTACTGCAACTTCCACCTCCTTGGTTCAAGCAATTCTGCTGCTTCAGCCTCCCGAGTAGCTGGGATTACAGGCATACACCACCATGCCCGGCTAATTTTTGTATTTTTAGGAGAGACAGGATTTCGCCATGTTGGCCATGCTGGTCTTGAACTCCCAGGCTCAAAGGATCCTCCCACCTTGCCACCTCCCAGGCGTGAGCCACCGTGTCCTGCTCACCATTTTCTTTTCTTTTTTGAGACAGGGTCTGACTTTGTTGCCTAGGCTGGAGTGCAGTGACACAATCTTGGCTCACTACAACCTCTGCCTCCTGGGCTCAAGCCATCCTCCCACCTCAGCCCCCCAAGTAGCTGAGACTACAGGCACACACCACCACACCCAGCTAATTTTTGTATTTTTTGTAGACAGGGTTCCGCCATGTTGCCCAGGCTGGTCTCAAACTCCTGAGCTAAAGCATTTCGCCGCCTCGGCCTCCCAAAGTGCTGAGGTTACACGTGTGAACCACCACGCCTGGCCAAGCCCACCATTTTAAAATGTATTGTTGCTCATTGATGAGAAAGGGACATATTCATAGTTTTAGAGCCTAGCAAAAGTTGTAAGTTAGCATATGGTTTGAAAAGTGACTTAAAAATCTATTACAGACTACTTGTATCTACATTATAAATTGCATTTACTGCCTGGGCACAGTGGCACACACCTGTAATCCAGCCCTTTGGGAGATGAAGGCTGGAGAATTGCTTGAGGCCAAGAGTTCAGTAACAGTTTGGGCAACATATAAGACCCTGTCTCTGCCAAAAATAAAAAAAAAAAAAAATTAGCTGGGCATGGTGATGCACACCTGTAGTCCTAGCTAGTTGGGAGGCTGAGGCAGGAGAATCGCTTGAGTGCAGGAAGTCCAGGCTGCAAATGAATTATGATCATATCACTGCACTACAGCCTGGCTGAAAGAGTGATACTCTGTCTCAAAAATAAATAAATAAATAAATAAATAAATTGCATTTACTTCTTCTGAAGTAGTGATTGTCTTTCATTCATCTGTTTATCTTACCCCACAAATTTAAATTTTAATCCACCACCTGCAAAGAGTGATGGGCGTTTATACAGAGCTTACTTAGATTGATAGGGAAAAGGAAGGACGTCTACCCTCTGTTTTATTCTCAGTACCAATTCAGTGAATTCTTTAAAGAAAAAAAAATTGCCTTTTTGAAGTACCTTGCATTTGTTGCAGCTGTCACTTGGATGATCATATTCATGAGATGCCTAGGGACTCCATCCTGTATGTGTGTGACACATACAGTTGAGGTATGCTGCCAAGATTTAGTGAAGGCCTAAGTGTGGTTTCCTCAAATTGACAGGAATATTTATTGAAGGATTATGTTTACTGACTACTGTAAAAATCACTTGTAGTTTCTAAAGTGATTAAGGAGACATAATGAAGATCCAGATCCCAGGTTTGTTTTTGTTAGTAAAAATTTTAGAGTATCTGCTGGGCATGGTAGCTCAAACTTATAGTTCCAACACTTTGGGAGGTCAATGTTGGGGGATCACTTATGCCCAGGAATTTGATACCAGCTTGGACAACATAGTGAGACTCTGTCTCTGCAAAGAAAATTTTTAAATTAGACAGGCATGGTGGGGCATACCTGTAATTGCAGCACTTTGGGAGGCCAAGGCAAGAGGATGGCTTTAGCCCAGGAGTTTGAGGTCAGCCTGGGTAACATAGGCAGACTCCATCTCTACCAAAAAAAAAAAAAAAAAAAAAAAAGTCAGGCTGGTGATGGTGGTGCATGCCTGTAGTCCCAGTAACTAAGGAGGCTGAGTGGGGAGGATTGCTTTAGCCTGGGAGGTTGAGGCTGCATTGAGCTGTGACCACAATACTGTACTACTGTACTATAGCCTGGGTGTCAGAATGATACCTGCCTCAAAACAGCAGCAACAACAAACATTTCAGGGTATCAAGATGGACCTTTAAAGTCTCATTTCCACTGAGATCCTCACGTGGCCTTCTTGTTATATATCCAAATAAATTTTTGGGTTTTATTTTTGTTTCCAAATATTTTTTTCTGTTGAAGGACCTTGGATGTTACTGTCATCTGAGAAAAAACTCTTATTGTGGAATTCTAGGTTCTGAAAACAGAAAACTACACTGATGTAAATTTCATGCTATGTGATGGTTGAAGGATAAGAGTCATTACATAATGTTGAGGGAACCCCAATAATTGTAATTGCATACATCTGATCCTTATTTGAGCCAGCTAAACATCTACTACTTGCCACTACGTTTATCAGTTTTCTTTCATGTCATGTTTGCTTATGATACATTGATACGTTAGTCTGTTTTTCTGTCTTCTCTATTTTGCCTCTTTTTTTTTTGAGATGGAATCTCACTCTGTCGCCCAGGTTGGAGTATAGTGACATGATCTCGGCTTACTGCAACTTCTGCCTCCTGGGTTCAAGCATTGCTGCTTCAGCCTCCCAAGTAGCTGGGATTACAGGCATACACCACCATGCCCGCCTAATTTTTGTATTTTTAGTAGAGACAGGGTTTCGCCATGTTGGCCAGGATGGTCTTCAACCCCTGACCTCAGGTGATCCACCCACTTTGACCTCCCAGAGTGCCAGGATTTCAGGCGTGAGCCACCGCACCTGGCCTTTCCTTCCTTCTATTCTTTTTTTGTGTTTCTTTGTTTGGAGACAAGTCTTACTCTTGTCCTCCAGGCTAGAGTGCGATGGTGCGAAGTCAGCTCACGGCAATCTCCACCTCCCAGGTTCAAGCGATTCTCCTGCCTCGGCCCCCTGACTAGCTGGGATTACAGGCACCTGCCACCACGCCCGGCTAATTTTTGTATTTTTAGTAGAGACGGGATTTCACCATGTTAGCCAGGCTGGCCTCAAACTTGTGAGCTCAAGCAATCTGCCCACCTCAGCCTCCCAAAGTACTGGGATTACAGGCGTGAGCCACCGTGCCTGGCCCTTTCCCTCTGTTCTTGATTTGTTTTTTGACTTAAGTTATCTTTTTCCTTCTCTGCTTTTACAAGTCTGTTCCCACCCAAAGTTGTTTTTTTTTTTTGAGACGGAATTTCACTCTGTTGCACAGGCTGGAGTGCAATAGTGTGATCTCAGCTCATTTTAACCTCCGCCTCCTGGGTTCAAGTGATTCTCCTGCTTCAGTCTCTTGAGTTGCTGGTATTACAGGCGCCCACCACTATGCCCAGCTAATTTTTGTATTTTTAGTAGAGACGGGGTTTTACCATGTTGGCCAAGCTGGTCTCGAACTCCTGACCTCAGGGGATCCTCTTGCCTTGGACTCCCAAAGTGCTGGGATTACAGGTGTGAGCCACCGCACCTGGCCACCCACCCAAAGATTTCTAATGGCAGTAATTGGGTAAAGCTTTAAGACTTTTAAGCCTATGAGCTTTTTCTTTTTTGGGATGGAGTCTCGCTCTGTCACCCAGGCTGGAGTGCAGTGGTGCGATCTCAGCCCACTGCAACCTCCACCTCCTGGGTTCAAGGAATTCTCATGCCTCAGCCTCCCGAGTAGCTGGGATTATGGGCACCTGCCACCACACTTGGCTAATTTTTGTAATTTTTTTTTTTTTTTTGAGACTGAGTTTTGCTCTTGTTGCCCAGGCTGGAGTGCAATGGTGCGATCTTGGCTCACTGCAACCTCTGCCTCCTGGGTTCAAGCGATTCTCCTGTCTCAGCCTCCTGAGTAGCTGGGATTACAGGTGCATGCCACCATGCCCAGCTAATTTTTGTATTTTTAGTAGAGACAGGGTTTCACTATGTTAGCTAGGCTGGTCTCGAACTCTTGACCTCAAGTGACCTGCTGCCTCCACCTTGCAAAGTTTTGGGATTACAGGCATGGGCCACTGCGCCCAGCCACCTGTGAGCTTTTTATTGTTGTGGGTGGTTCTCAAAGTGCTGGACCAGTGCAAAGCGTCAGCATCACCTGGGAACTTATTAGAAATGCACATTCTTGGCTAGGCACAGTGGCTTACGCCTGTAATCCCAGCACTTTGGGAGGCCAAGGCGGGCGGATCATCTGAGGTCAGGAGTTCGAGACCAGCCTGGCCAACATGGTGAAACCCCGTCTCTACTGAAAATATAAAATTAGCCGTGTGTGGTGGCACATATGCCTGTAATCCCAGCTACTTGGGAGGCTGAGGCAGGAGAATCGCTTGAACCCAGGAGGCAGAGGTTGTAGTGAGCCAAGATGGCGCCACTGCACTCCAGCCTGGGCAACAAGAGCGAAACTTGGTCTCAAAAAAAAAAAAGAAAGAAAAAAAGAAATACACATTCTTGGGCCCACCTCTGATATCCTGAATCAAACTTTGTTGGTGGGGCTTAGTAATCTGTTTAACAAGCCCCCCACCCAATTATGATACTTCTGTTGGATGTTAAGTAGTAACAGGAAAACCACTGTCGATGGTGGTGAGGAATTGACTGGTTATTTTTTTAGTTTTGAAAGGCCTGACTCCCATCTGCTAGGTCAAAACAGAAAGAGTCCTGATCTTTTGCAAAGATTAACACATACTTGTAAAGTTTCATGAATATTTGTTTCCTATCATTTGTATGCTTTCTGTGTATGTCATATGGGCCTACTTAATCCCAACTGTGTTGATTTCTATTTATGCATGCTAAAAATATGTTTAGTGATGAAGAGACAGCTTCCTGGAGGGGGAAAGACATTTAAAAATAACTTACTTTTAGAAATATATCTGTGTTTTCATTGCTGTGTAAAAAATTTGCTTTTTTTTTTTTTTTTTGAGATAAGGTCTTGCTCTGTTGCCCAGGCTGGAGTGCATTGGCATGATCATGGTTCGCTGCAGCTTCAAATTCTGGGCTCAAGTGGTCCTTCCACTTCAGCCTTCAAAGTAGCTGGGACTAAAGGGATGCATCACCATGCCCAGCTAATTTTTTCATTTTTTGTAGAATTGGGGTCTCCCTATTTTGCCCAGACTGGTCTCAAACTCCTAAGCTCAAACAATCCTCTCACTTCAGCCTCCCAAAGTGCCGGGATTACAGGTGCAAGCCACCACATCTGGCCAAAAATTTTCTTAAACGTTGTTTGAGTTGGCTGGTAGAAGATTTACAGGAACAATAAAAGAAAGCCATTTATTGAAATCATACTGTAATTTGAGAAGAATATTAAGTGAATTCAGCTATTGAGTTTACTTGCGGTTTTTTGAGTTCTGAATGAAGACTTAAAAGATCTTATCCATGTTTATTTGTAAACTACACCAGTATTGAAACTGTGATTTAGTTTCATTATTCCACAACCCAGTAGAAAAAACACTTTTGCAAATTTGTGCAAAAGACCAAAAAAGTACAGCCTAGAATAATATAACAGTAACTAATAAATGTACAAGATAGTAAAATTAGACTTTCAAGTATGTATGAATGATTGACCTGTATTGCAGCTATAGCTACTTGGTGGGCTGAGGCAGGAGAATCGCTTGAACCCAGGAGGCAGAGGTTGCAGTGAGCCGAGATCGCGCCACTGCACTCCAGCCTGGGCAACAAGAGCGAAACTTGGTCTCAAACAAAAAAAAGAAAGAAAGAAAGAAAGAAAGAAAGAAAGGCACATTCTTGGGCCCACCTCTGACATCCTGAATCAAACTTTGTTGGTGGGGCTTAGTAATCTGTTTAACAAGATTAGTTATAATCTTGTTATAGCTATAGCTGCAATATAGCAGAGTATTTTTTTCCCCTATAAAGAGTTGTTATTTTAAGGAAATAATTCTTGTATTTTAAGAAAAACACACATTCTGACCAGATGGGAAACTATACAGTGTGTAACTCAGGTGTCCTTTTTCCTTCAGGGCAGGACCTATTCTTAGCTATAAGTCATGAACAGCCAGGCATGGTGGCTCATGTCTGTAATCCCAACACTTTAGGAGGCTGAGGCAGGAGGATTGCTTGAGGCCATGGGTTTAAGACCAGCTTGGGCAACATAGTGAGGCCCCATCTCTTTAAAAACATTTAGAAAATTAGCTGGGCATGGTAGTGTATGCTTGTAGCTACTCAGGAGGCTGGGATGAGAGTATAGCTTCAGCCTCGGATTTTGAAGCTGTAGTGAGCCGTGATCGCATCATTGCATTCCAGCCTGGGTAGCAGAGGTGAGACTTCAACTCTTTAAAAAATAAATAAATAAATAAGCAAAATTAACTCAGGTTTATTAATAGTGGCAGAAAAAAAAAAAAAAAAGGAAAAAAAGGCATAAGTCAGGAAGTGACTCAAGTGATTCTAAATAAAATTGGGGGTTAGCTTTGCCAAGGTCATGTTAGCCCTGATTTTGTTATTGTTGTTATCTTGTCAGATCCAAGTTGATGAAGTCAGAAGGCTGGTATATTTTGAAGGCACCAAAGACTCTCCTTTAGAGCATCATCTGTACGTAGTCAGTTACGTAAATCCTGGAGAGGTGACAAGGCTGACTGACCGTGGCTATTCACATTCTTGCTGCATCAGTCAGGTATTAAGTTTGTTTAAAAAGGGTTTTGTGTCATATTAAAACTCTCTGCTTATGTAATACTCCTTTTGAATGATGTGAAATTGGCCTGCAAAAGCCTAATTCTCTAAGGAAAAGCTTTAAAAAGCTTAACTTCAACATTGTTTATGTATATAAATAGTCTCTTATAATACTCCTGCTATATCATTAGTGCAGATATAACAGCAGATAACCTTTTCTGCCTCCCTAAGGAAAAATGTAATTGTTTCTTCTTTCCCTAGCATTGTGACTTCTTTATAAGTAAGTATAGTAACCAGAAGAATCCACACTGTGTGTCCCTTTACAAGCTATCAAGTTCTGAAGATGATCTAACTTGCAAAACAAAGGAATTTTGGGCCACCATTTTGGATTCAGCAGGTATTCTTTTTTGCCCCGATCCTGACGTTAAGTAGGATTAATATGTTAGTACACTAAACTTGTGTCATATTTTCACATTTCCTGAACAAGTCTTCCCATCTCTCACCACTTCCTGTCCCTGAGTTGCCGAGCTCCTGATAGATCCCACTTCTCCTGTTCTGTTAACTGCTGAATAAGATGGGTTACTTCTCACTCCAAGCAGGAGCAAGTCTGGAAGGCCTTTTTGAAAATAAGATTAAGGCCAGGTGCAGTGACTCACGCCTGTAATCCCTACATTTTGGGAGACCGAGGAGGGTGGATCACTTGAGGTCAGGAGTTTGGGACCAGCCTGGCCAACACGGTAAAACCCCGTCTCCACTAAAAATACAAAAATTAGCTGGGCGTGGTGCTGTGTGCCTGTTGTCCCAGCTACTCGGGAGGCTGAGGCATGAGAATCACTTGAAGCCAGGAGGCGGAGGTTGCAGTGAGCTAAGATAACACCACTGAACTGCAGCCTGGGTGACAAAGCAAGACGTTGTCTCAAAAAAAAAAAAGAAAATAAGATTAAAATAGTCAAGGTATCAGCTGGGAAACAGTTTATTCACAAATTTTGATGATTTCTCAGGTAAACAAATGAACTTGAAGATAATAGTATTCTGAACTGGTAAGACTCTTTGAGCAAGGAAGCTGCAGCTTTGGAGAATAACCAGCTGATAGCTTTCTTAAACTTTTGAAGCACTTGTAATGGCCATCTTAATAAAAGAACACTTGCTGTCTCTGGAATGAGAGAAACACTGAATTATCTGTTTAAAATGTTTGATTTCTTAAACATAAAGAATGGACTGGGCTGGGCGTGGTGGCTCACACCGATAATCCTAGCATTTTGGGAGGCCGAGGTGGGCGGATAACAAGGTCAGGAGATCGAGACTATCCTGGCTAACACGGTGAAACCCTGTCTCTATTAAAAAATACAAAGAATTGGCTGGGCATGGTGGCTCAAGCCTGTAATCCCAGCACTTTGGGAGGCCGAGACAGGCGGATCACGAGGTCAGGAGATCGAGACCATCCTGGCTAACACGGTGAAACCCCGTCTCTACTAAAAAAAATAGAAAAAGCTAGCCGGGTGAGGTGGCAGGCGCCTGTAGTCCCAGCTACTCGGGAGGCTGAGGCAGGAGAATGGCATAAACCTGGGAGGCGGAGCTTACAGTGAGCTGAAATCCGGCCACTGCACTCCAACCTGGGTGACAGAGCGAGACTCCGTCTCAAAAAAAAAAAAAAAAATAGAATTAGCCGGGCATGGTGGTACACGCCTGTAGTCCCAGCTACTCAGGAGGCTGAGGCAAGAGAATTGCTGAACCCAGGATGCAGAGGTTGCGGTAAGCTGAAATTGCGCCACTGCTTTCCAGCCTGGACAATGGAGCAAGACTCCGTCTCAAAAAAAAAAAAAAAAAAAAAGAATGGACTGGTTTTATGTATCCTCTAATTCACTTTAATCCCCAATCTTTTTTTCTAGTATTTTTACTAATTCACTATTTCTGCTAAGGGATTAAGAAATTAGGCCAAGCATGGTGGCTCATGCCTATAATCCCAGCACTTTGGGAGGCTGAGGTGGGTAGGTCATTTGATATCAGGAGTTCAAGAGCAACCTGGGCAACATGGTGAAACCCCACTTCTACTAAAAATACAAAAACTAGCTGGGCGTGGTGGTGGGCACCTGTAGTCCCAGCTACTTGGGAGGCTGAGGCAGGAGAATC